CACCTCACCTCCACACAGGCAAATGATGGATCTTTCCCTTTACTTCCACTAGGATGCAACTCATTTTATTCATACTTATTATTACAATGATAACTAAGCGCTAAACCCAAAATGGTCATTTTATTCTCAAAATCTTCCACACACACACGAGCTTTTAAATCTCTGCACAAAATTCAACTTAAACCAGCAATAATAGAGCCTACAGACTGGAGAATACATTAGACCTCAACTTCACTAACAATGATGATCTAATACGAAATGTCACCATGTCAAAACAATATACTCAGATCACAACATAATCGAGGTTCAGACATGTATGCGCGGAGCCCCAGACCGACAAAAAGAGATTAGTCACGAGGTAGCCTTCACCAAATTCAACTTCAATAACAAGAACATAAAGTGGGACCAAGTAAATCAAGTCCTAAACATATAAGCGGGAAGATAGACTAACAACACAGACCCCAACTTATGCCTAAACAGATTAACTCGGTGGCACTCGATGTATGCTAAAAGGCTTATTCCTTTAAGAAAAAGGAGGAGTAAAAGTAAAATAGAAAGAGACAGGCGCTCCCTTTACAGGCGAGGGAAAAAAGAATAACAGAGGGGCTAAAAGAGCCAAATATATCTGAAATGCCAAGGGAGACACTGGTCAGAGAAATGGGAAACATGAACTTCAGCTAAAGGAATCTTATAGGAGTCATGAATCGCGGGAAGAACTAAAAGCCATAAATGAAATAAAAAGAAACCCAAAGTATTTCTTTCCTTATGCCAAATCAAAGTCGAGAACAACATCCAGTATTGGGCCCCTACTAAACAAGATGGGTCCTACACGATGACAGCAAGGAAATGAGTGAGCTACTCCAAGTCCCAGTATGACCATTTTTAGAAACCGCTAACCAAAACTGAGAGTCAAAAGACCCAAAATGAATTTTTTATGAGAGAGCCACAGAATTTGGTAAACACAAGCCTATCTGATGTTATCCTGAAGCCAAATGACTTTGAACAGGCGATAAATGACATGCCTATGCACTCTGCCAGGGCCAAAACTCATGGGAACCCCGTGTTCATCAAGAACTGCAAGAAGCCCCATCACGAGCTTTACCATCCATGGAGAGGGGGCATGGACACCGGGGTCGTCCCACAGTTACTAAAAAAACAGACAGCCCCACTCCACAAAGGGGGCAGTAAAGCAATAGCAAAGAACTACAGACCGATAGCACTAACACCCATTCATAAAAAATCTTTGAAAGGGCCCCAAGAAGCAAGATCGCCACCCATCTAGATACCCATCAATTACACAACCCAGGGCAACATGGGTTTTGAGCAGGTCGCTCCTGTCTGCCAACTACTGGATCACTATGACAAGGTCCAGATGCACTAGAAGAAAAAAGAATGCAGATGTAATATATACAGACTTTTGCAAAAGCCTTCGACAAGGTGACCAATGGCGTAATAGCGCACAAAATGCGTGCTAAAGGAATAACAGGAAAAGTTGGTAGAAAGGGTCAATAATTTCCTCACAAACAGAACACAAAGTGTAGTAGTTAACGGGGTAAAAATCTGAGGCGCTACGGTGAAAAGCTCTGTTCCACAGGCACAGTACTCGCTCCCATCTTTTTCTCATCCTCATATCTGACTAGACAAGGATGTCAGCCACCCGCAAACCCTGTCTTCCTTGCAGATGACACCCGAATCTGCATGACAATGTCTTCCATTGCAGACACTGCAAGGCTCCAGGTGGACATCAAAACCAAAACTTTCAAATGGGCTGCAGAAAACAATAGAAGTTCAACGATGAGAAATTTCAACTACTTCGATATGGTAAACATGAGGAAATTAAAACTTCTTCAGAGTACAAAACAAATTCCAGCCACTAAATAGAGCGAAAAACCAACGTCAAAGACCTGGGAGTGATCATGTCGGAGGATCTCACCTTCAAGGACCATAAAAATTGTATCAATCGCATCTGCTAGAAAAATGACAGGAAGGATAAAAATGAGAACCTTCAAACTAGGATCCAACCATGATGACACTCTTTAAGGGCGCTTGTTCTATCTAGGCTGGAATATTTCTGCACACTAACAGCACCTTTCAAGGCAGGGGAAATTGCTGACCTAGAAAATGTACAGAGAACCTTCACGGCCTCATAACGGAGATAAAACACCTCAATTATTTGGGGGCGCTTGAAAGGGTTTCCTAAACCTGTACTCCTGGAACGCAGGCGGGAGAGATACATGATTATATACACCTGGAAAATCCTAGAGGACTAGTACCGAACTTGCCACGAAAATCACTCACAAAAGAAAGCAAAAGACTCGGGAGATGATGCAACATCCCCCAATGAAAAACAGGGTGTCACAGCACGTTGAAGACAATACAATAAGTGTCAGGGGCCCGAGACTGTTCAACTACCTCCCAGTATACATAAGGGGGATTACCAATAGACCCCTGGCTGTCTTCAAGCAGGCACTGGACTAACATCTAAAGTCGGTACCTGACCAGCCGGGCTGTGGATCGTACGTTGGATTGTGTGCAGCCAGCAGTAACAGCCTGGTTGATCAGGCGCTGATCCACCATGAGGCCTGGTTACAGACCGGGCCGCGGGGGCGTTGACCCCCGGAACTCTCTCCAGGTAAACTCCCAGCAGCCGGGAGACGCTCAACACTTAGGTCTTAACAGAATGCACGAAATTTCCCACATACTTTAATCAAGATCAAGAGAGTTTAGGTAAGGCCCAATGTGGGGGTGAGCTGGGAAGACGGGACAGGCGAAGAATAGCGCTGGAGAGGAGTGTCCACAGTCGAAGAAAAAGACCCGGTTGCTAGGCGCTCGTGGGACGAACTTGGAGAAAACAGGAAGAGCAAGCTGCGTATGCATCGGCCTCGTGGTAGTTGAGGTCTTGAGTCTTTGAGAAGGTGACAGTTTCTAGGTTGCAGGAGAGGGTAGGCAGATAGGAATATCAGAAGGCAGTACACAGGTGCTAGTTATAGGAGTAATTTAGGGGGCAAGTTTGCAGTGGAGCCATTTTCAAACTTTTTGAAGCTGCCCCTTGTTACTGAAGGTGAAATGTAGAGGCTTGATGAACTCAAGAACTTGGGTGAGTATGAAGTGAAGAGGTGATTCACAGGCGTACCTGACTGTTCCAGCACCGAGGCCTCTGTAGAGCTCAGTGCAGGTTATGGTGTCAGGATTCGATGGAGAAATGTAGGGGTAAGGTTTTCCCATGAGGGTATACTGGAGTCATCACCTTCTTCTAAAGTGGATTCATTTGGCGAGTCTACAATGGTTTTTAGCAGGTGACTGAGGGTTGACAGGAACGGTGGAAGGATATATTGGTGGTGTAACAGCAGGCTGGGAGGCGTGGGAGACGGTGGTTGAGGCAGCATGATCATTGTTGTTGGCAGTGGAATTTGTTAAAGAAGTTACAGGAGCAGTTGCTTGGGCAGGAGACAGGTCTGCAGCTGCAGTAAAGTTCGCGACGTTGGGAAGGATCTTGAGGATGTCGGCTGAAGGTGTGGAGTCCGGGAAATTGAAGGCAGGCATGTTGTTCAGAGGGAATAGTTGGTTAATAGTGGTGTTGAAAGTGCCGGGGTATGCTGCATTTGCAATGTGTGCATACACCATGCAGTGTATACAGCACCTTGGAGGGAGCACCGTCGGGGAGTGGAGAGAGGGAGTTGCTGGGGGGTGTCTGTAGAGTGGCGTGTAGAATCTTGGTGGCGTCGGCTTGCAGTTTGGTTATTGCTGTGTATGTAGGTGAATTGGAGGTGTTCTTCAGATCTTCTTTAGTTTTCTTTGATACGAGTTCTTTCCTGAGTGGGCACTTAGCTTGCAGTTAAAACATGTTGGAGCAGTAGTGATGGTGCAGGATCTGAATTCGTGTCCATCATTCCCACATTATGAACAAAACTTCTTATCCTTGATGGGGCAGTCCTTGGTGGTGTGATTATAGGTCCAGCAGTGGGAGATGTATGTGAAACGTTCTGGTTCTATATGACTTGGGTAATGTGAATATGAGATGGCCAGACCGTCAGAGAGAGCTTGGGCAGCAATGGAGATGTCTGAGAATGTGATCTTTAGCATAGATGAGACGTTAGGTATCTTGGAGATGCTATCTACCGAGGTCCAGGTGTTTTGTTCCTCGATAGCTGTCTTCAGTGCTTCAGTAGAGAGGGAGGTGACGATCTTGTCCAGTCTTTTCACAAGACCGAACGTTTCGCCTTAAAGAATGGAGACGGGGATATGGTGAATTGTCGTGTTTGTAGGGTCTTGACTGAAGAGTCGTCCATTAGTTTTGATGCTTCACTGTCGTCTGTGCAGACGACAGTAAAGGAGTCCTTCAGAGAGTGGATTGCCGCAAATTTGACCTGCAAGCAGGTCCTAACGGCGGTAGCTAAAGCTAACTTCGAGGAGTCATTGATTACTCCATTCACAAGCTTGATTTTCACACGATGCGACAACGTTGTGAGAAAGGAGATGGCGCTTCTGGACCGGGACAAGGATAATGAGCTATATGACTCTTGTGAACTTACATTTATCTTTCCTCTGGCATTGCTTGCCGTTGTCATTGTACACTTGATGTTATTATTACAATCATAGCTAAGTAATGTACAATGGATGTATTCATTCCTCTTCGAACATAATGAAAATGACGGCAGTTTTCAGCTCTGCTGTCTTTTGATCATTTCCCTTCCACCATTGCCCAGCCCAGCTCCCACACTATGTATACATTGAGGAATTATTTTGTCAAAACATATATACTCCATTAGAACAATATTTTAATACACCAAGAAAAACAGTGGCTGATTGTTTCAGTTGTTATAATCCTGCATAACCGAGTGGGGAATTATCCAATTTATAATTTACTTTTAAAAAAAATGAAAGGTCAGATGCTTGGGCAGTTTACGTCTGAGAAACTCCTTGACCTTTGTAAGGTTGTAAAGTGTGTTGGGCCCGACAAGGCCGTGTACCAGCCGCCTGGCCTTCATCACTATACCTACCTTCATCTTTCCTAACAAAGTTCATGGTTCACACGATAACTTCATCAGTCTACATGCTATTTAAGCAGATTCTTCCTGGCAGGCACACCCAGATATTAAAAATACTACGTTTTAAGAATATTATATATACATACATATATATACATACATATATATATATATATACATATATATATATATATATATATATATATATATATATATATATATATATATATATATATATATATATAATATGTCGTGCCGAATAGGTAAAACTGATCAATTAGCAAGACCTCGTTTAACATTACGTCTTTTCTGCGTTTAAAGATTTTTTTTTCATTTATGTTAATGTAAAAATTAATAATTTTGTACCGATAGAACCTTAGAAAACTTACCTAACCTTATTATGACAAACGCAATTTAATTTAGCCTAATCCAACTAATTATATCATAGATAAGTTTACAGTAATTTAATAATAAACAAACACAATGAAATATATTTTTTCCGTTAAACTTAGAATGATTCTTGCGAAATTATTGCATATGCAAATTTTCGCTTGCCTTATTTGGCAAGAAGAGAGTTGCTATTTAAGCCAATATCGCAAGTTTTACCTATTCGGCACGACACACACACACACACACACACACACACACACACACACACACACACACACACACACACACACACAACAGAAAGACAGAGAGGTGGGGTACACCACCAAGTGCTGGACACAGTACACACAACCGAGGAAGAAGTGAAGAGGCTTCTGAGTGAGCTAGATACCTCAAAGGCAATGGGGCCGGATAACATCTCTCCATGGGTCCTGAGAGAGGGAGCAGAGGTACTATGTGTACCCCTAACAACAATATTTAATACATCTATCGAAACAGGGAGATTGCCTGAGGCATGGAGGACAGCAAATGTAGTCCCAATCTTTAAAAAAGGAGACAGACATGAAGCACTAAACTACAGACCAGTGTCACTGACATGTATAGTATGCAAAATCATGGAGAAGATTATCAGGAGAAGAGTGGTGGAACACCTAGAAAGGAATGATCTCATCAACAGCAGCCAACATGGTTTCAGGGAAGGGAAATCCTGTGTCACAAACCTACTGGGGTTATATGACATGGTGACAGCAGTAAGACAAAAGAGAGAGGGGTGGGTGGATTGCATTTTCTTGGACTGCAAGAAGGCGTTTGACAGAGTTCCACACAAGAGATTAGTGCAAAAACTGGAGAACCAAGCAGGAATAACAAGGAAGGCACTACAATGGATCAGGGAATACTTGTCAGGAAGACAGCAGCGAGTCATGATACGTGGCGAGGTGTCAGAGTGGGCACCTGTGACAATCGGGGTCCCACAGGGGTCAGTCCTAGGACCAGTGCTGTTTCTGGTATTTGTGAACGACATGACGGAAGGAATAGACTCTGAAGTGTCCCTGTTTGCAGATGACGTGAATTTGATAAGAAGAATTCATTCGATCGAAGACCAGGCAGAATTACAAAGGGATCTGGACAGGCTGCAGACCTGGTCCAGCAATTGGCTCCTGGAGTTCAACCCCACCAAGTGCAAAGTCATGAAGATTGGGGAAGGGCAAAGAAGACCGCAGACGGAGCACAGTCTAGGGGGGCCCAGAGACTACAACCTCACTCAAGGAAAAAGATCTTGGGGTGAGTATAACACTAGGCACATCTCCTGAAGCGCACATCAACCAAATAACTGCTGCAGCATATGGGCGCCTAGCAAACCTCAGAACAGCATTCCGACATCTTAATAAGGAATCATTCAGGACCCTGTACACCGTGTACGTTAGGCCCATATTGGAGTATGCGGCACCAGTTTGGAACCCACACCTAGCCAAGCACGTAAAGAAACTAGAGAAAGTGCAAAGGTTTGCAACAAGACTAGTCCCAGAGCTAAGAGGTATGTCCTACGAGGCGAGGTTAAGGGAAATCGACCTGACGACACTGGAGGACAGGAGAGATAGGGGGGATATGATAACGACATACAAAATACTGAGAGGAATTGACAAGGTGGACAAAGACAGGATGTTCCAGAGATGGGACACAGTAACAAAGGGACACATTTGGAAGTTGAAGACACAGATGAATCACAGGGATGTTAGGAAGTATTTCTTCAGCCACAGAGTAGTCAGGAAGTGGAATAGTTTGGGAAGCGATGTAGTGGAGGCAGGATCCATACATAGCTTTAAGAAGAGATATGATAAAGCTCACGGTTCAGGGAGAGTGACCTAGTAGCGACCAGTGAAGAGGAGGGCCATGAGCTAGGACTCGACCCCTGAAACCTCAACTAGGTGAGTACACACACAGTCTACTCAAACATATCTCTGGGCAGTACACATACTGAAGTGGTAAAAAACAGTCACACCAGAATATACAGTTCTGTACTATTTGAAGTATTCTTTCATTCTGTTATTAGCCCATCGCTGTGCCCGTTTTTTTTTTTTTTTGTAATTAAAGAGGGAATAAGCCTGAAAGCAGTCAACCTGGTGCTGGGATGCTTGATTGTCTTCGGTAGTGGAGACGTGAGGTGGTAGCCGAGGGTGTGAGGTGGTAGTTGGTAGTAAGATTAAGGGATGAGCGTGTGGGGGGTCGTGGGTGGTAGTAAGATTAAAGGGTGAGGGTCGTGGTAAGTAGTAGTTACAGGGTGAGGGTGTGAGGTAGTTGTGTGTGAGGAGTGATGTGTACAGTGGTTCATATTAGTAGGTTTTGGGGTAGTGGAAGAAGTGTGTGGAAGGGCAGGGGCTAATATGACAGAAGTCAGGGATCACATCTCAGGTACTTCAAGGTCTTTCGACTAGTACCTTCTACCCTTCAAAACCACCGTGTGGCTCGCCACGCCTTGGAGACAGTAGTCTCACGCCTGAAGGAATCTTTGCGTTCTTAATGATGGCTATTTGCATTCTTAATAACTTGGCGAATCTTGAGAATTTATTGTACAGACTTTTACCAACTTGAAAATGAGAATTAGGGCTAGTATACTGTTGATTTTTGTGGAAATGTTAATGCCTACTATAATAGTGATAATTACTAATAAGTGCTCACCAAATAATAATCTGCTGGGTGATTTAACAACCGCTGGTGTACCAGTGCTGGGATCTGGTGTCATGTAGGGGGGTAATGATTAGGGGAATATGGGGGTAAGCGGAGGGAGTCAGTAAATAGGGGACAGGCGAGGTGGTAGGAGGGATGAGTGCGGAGGTAGGTAGGTAGGTAGGTAGGTAATGTGAGGTCACTGGTGACTACACCTTCACCTCTCATTACTCTACCCGCCACACTACACTACTCTCTCACTACTTGAAATAAAATAATGAATGAGTAAATAACGGGGACAGTGAATATTACTATTCTACTCAAACACAGTTTATTATTAAGTCCTTGTACAATAATATATTTGGGAAGAGGAGAACATTATTGTGGTTTAGATAAACGGGGTGTTACACATAAGCAGTGAGACAGGGAATACAATCAATTTGACGAAAATGAATATAACTTACAATATAGTTCAGTGGACAGTTCACCACAGGTCCCAAGACCTATACAGCACGGGTACTGCTCCAAGCCAGTACTCTGCCCAATGTTTCCAACAGTCTCCTCCAGAGACTTCAGCAGCCTTCTCCCGAGCCCTGCACCCCAGCAGCAGCTCCTCTCGAAGTCTCTGCTCAGGAGCTCTGCACCCCAGCAGCAGCTCCGCTCGAATCTCCCTACTCAGCCCTTCCTTGGGCTTTTATGGTGGTCCAAGCACCCTCCACAACCACGTGTACGACCTGACGCCTAGGTCTGACGCCGTCAAGAACAAAAGACCTCAGACGTGGGCGTGGCTACAGACGTTTGCCAAAGCAAGGTGTGACCATATAATTGGTTAAATTAGGTCTCCCCAGAGACCTCACAAGCCCAGCTGAACTACATCACACTGGATGCGTGCACAATGAAAGAAGACAAGCTCAATCGATCACAAAAAAAGGCATAGTGGCAGCTTTGTTGGCTGACAGAGAGAACACCATACAAAGTCAAAATAAATAACTAAAGATTTATAAATCCAGATTTACGAATCAAGCAATATTCTCATTTTGTTATTAATGAACTTCTAAACTGTACAAACTTGCATGTATTGCCACCGGTTCATAGTCTCATGTCACTGTATCACTGGTTCACAGTGGTTCGCATTACTGTATCACTCTGGGGTGCAGTGAATCAGTACACTGTTACTAGTTCTCTGTATCATTGGTTTTCAGTGCTTCCTGTCATTATATCACTGGGTTGCAGTTCCTCATGACACTGTTACTGGCTCCCAGTGCCTCGCTGCATCGTGCTGGCTGATTCACATGATATTCTGCCACTTGCTTCTAGGAGAGAATACGGGCTATCTGTTTGTACTGCTTGGTGCTCAGTGCTTCTTGGTTGTTGCCCGGCCACTCACTGGCCATGGCCAGGCCACCTAATGGCCGACCAGCCAAGTGACGATAAATATCGGCGACAACCAACGACCCTTTAGCTAACTTCCTCTCCCCTTAAACAAGGCGGAAAGATTTATTCAAGTTCGGTGACTGGCTAACTATTTCACTCTTAAACCAGCCAGTCACCTTATGCAGAGTCCTCCAATCCACAGGAAACAACCAGTTAGTGAATTTCACCCTCTAATAGCTGATTGCAAGCTATACTGGCACTTTATTAGCTATACACAATTTACTAAACCAGCCAGTCAACGACCCACACTACAGAGCTCACTCGCAGAGAAATCCAGCTCTCATAAACTAAGATTACCGGAACAGCCAATCTTTATCCTGTATCTCCTCGACTTCTTGCGGGTGTACTAGACTCCCCACATAGCAGGACTAAGTATACCCCAGGCAGATAAAAATATACTCGCAGTCGAATTTGTAACAATATGTTAGAACCAGGTTAAGATATACGGCTGCTGTTAAGGGCCCACCTTTAAAGAAACATGTAACTAAATGGAAAAAGACTGAAGACACGCAGAAAAGCTTACTTTAAAATTA